CAATTACTCTCAAGTCTTCATGAGACTATCATTGAAGTATAATTTCCCTTCATGTCATCATTGGCCATCTAATGACCTCAAACTCAAATTGAAAACTCAAGTTTCAAAGTGAAGATCAACAAGAAAGCAAAAAGTCATAAAACATGCATCAAAAAGGTTTCAATCATTCAAACATGGGGCATTAAGTGAAATGACTTGAGTTTATGTGGATAAACAGAACCAACATGATCATTAGGTTTCCAATCATAGGCTTCACTCAAGTTCATTGGCCATCAAGCAAATTGCAACAAGATATGCAACATTAATTGGGTACCTTCACTTCAAAAATACATCAAAGATAGAAAAGGATTTCAATAATTCAAACCAAAATTTCCATAACATATTTGAGATGTGTATAGGTCAGAAAACAAGTTTGAAGTTCATGGATAGTAGAGGTGAAGATCAAGTGAGGCTCAAGGATCAAAACTAGTTGGCAAAACTACCAAACTAGACAAGCTTTCAAAACAATTTGTGGAAAAATATCCAATCAAGTCAAATAATTCAAGAAAAATGGTTTTCAGATACTAAATACATCCATGAACCTTAAACAAGATCCAAATTCGAATGGAAACCCAAGGCAAATTGATTTTGAAAATAAAACTTGCAATGTAAGCCACAAAACCCTAATTGTTTGAATTTTAATCTTAAATATTAATTGGGTAAAATCAAAATTCAAACAATTCAAACCAAGATCATGCAAATCACAAGGAAACCCTAAATATCAGAATACATATTTTTTCACATTTTTAGGATTAAAGAAAAAGTCACAAATAAATTCAAATTCAAACTATTAAACAATTAAACAAATATTCACATTTTCAAAATGAAACTCCAATCAAAAGTCAGAAAAATATCCAACCAAAATTATATTCATATATTAGAATTAAAAACCAGCATTCATGATTTTTTCTGGAATTTTTGAATTAAAGGAAATATTAAAATAAAATCAAACAAACAATTAAACAATTAAACTATTATTTAATGACAAAAGTGCAAACCTTAGCCAAAAGTCATAAAAAGGTCAAAACAAAATTATATTCAGACACTATGATTAAAAACAAACTTATATGATTTTTTTTTTGAGGATTTTTGAATTAAAGGAAATATTAAAACAAAAATTATGAAGCAAACATTTAAAATAAACTTCTCAAATTAAATTTCTAATCAAAAATAGAAAAAATGCTAAACCAAAATCAGATCAATTTCTACATTACTTTATGAGCCCAAAACATTTTTTGTGGAAATTTTAGATCAAAAGAACTATTAAAATAAAAATAATCATTGAATAAACAATTAAATAAACCTATGAATTTTTAAACCAATCAAAACATTTTTAAAAAAAATCCAAAAAAATATGACAGATACTAGAAATTATTATTAGCCTATGGTATTTTTTTCATGATTTTTGAAGATGTTTTGATCATAAAAATAAAATTAGAAAAATCAATTGAAATCAAATAATATGAAATGCATTAAAAATTTAAATCATCCAATCAGGGTGCGCCACCTCATCATCTTCAACCTCAAGACAAAGCCCTAAACGCGTGTTTTCTCAGTTTGAAACCTCATGTTCTGATCAATACTTCTTCCTTATTTCTCCACCAAAATCAATGATTCAAAGCTCAAAACAAAGCCAGATCTAACCTCTACATCACGACACTTATAGATCTCAAAAAGATTGACTAGGCAATTAGAAATCTGGATGCGAAAATTGCAAAAACTCACTGAATATGAATTATTCATAAGTTCAAACAACGATCCATTCTTCAATTTCAAATAAAATTATACGTCAAACCTATTGTTTGGCCAGCTATGAGCTCATAAACATGAAGTAATTCAACAAATCAAGCTGGAAATAGTAAAATGAATTTCAAGAAGCTTACTTCAATGTGAAACTGGAAATATTGATTCCTTAGTTACAGAAGCAAACAAACTCCATGATCTTGATCTACACACTTCAAGGAAGATGAATCCACAGGAAATTTGATGAATGTGCGAAGAAGATGAGAGAATCGAAGAAAACTTGAGCAAGAGCAGAAAAAGTTCAGATCCGGATTTATGATAACTGGAGCGCGTTTTTTTGTGAAATGAGGCTTGTAGTACACTATATAGTGTGGGTAGAGAAGGTTAGAAGAGGAAATTGGTCTTCAAAGTTGTTCAAGGGCTTGATTGGAAATTTTGGTCAAAAAAAGAATGCACATGGGCCTCAGCCATTTGCTCGTGCGTTTCCTCCTTTTCTTTGCATTTTATGAGCCAAATGAGGTCAGGAGCAAATGCTCAAAGTTCCAGGTCATGACTAATTGAAATGAGAGAGTGTTGGTGAATTTGCAAAATTAAGCAAGTTTGTGATTTTTGTAATCAAACAAGTACAAAACCAAATGAGGAAAGAAATGGTGAGTGTAATGGGCCTTAACATGTTACAAATTATTCATGGGCTTGATTAGAAACAAAAATAAAGGCTAAAACTTGAGTTCTCAAGAATTTGCATTTTGCTTGCTTGGTCAAAATTCAATAAAATGCCTCAAAATTCCAAAGCTCATAACTTGCTCATATTTTTGAATTTTGACACAAATTAGCCCTATTTGTAAAGTTCTTGAAAAGATCTACAATCCCTTAGTTTTCTGTTTTTGCAATTGAATCCATTAAGGTCCTCAAAATTTGACATGAAATTCACAAATTTTGAGAAATGACCCACAATTTTGTGACTTCCAAGCTTTATAACTTACTACCACTTAATGCATTGTTCTAAAAAATGGAATCATGTGAAAGAGCCCCCTATTAGCTTTACAAGCATACTTCATTTGCATTTTTTTGATCAAAGGTGAATAAATATGAATTTTTGAAGTTAAGTCCTCATTTTCCAAAATTAGAAACTTTTAGGGTTTCTTCATGAACAAGTTTTAACCCAAACCTCAATCTTTTTGATCCAATGATCAAAATGGACTTGAAATATGAAAAGTACGCCCTTGAATTGATGGTTGACCAAAAGTTCACTTGGTCAACCTTGACTTTGACTGATTTTGACCAAAATGACCATTTTGCCCCTTTGAATTAATTGATCCACTTCCCTTCAAAATTGATGATCAGGACTTCAAACATATGATCTTCCAAATATATAGAGGCCATGTACAAAGTTTCACTTCAAAATTCTCAAGAAATCCTGATGAAATCCCAAACCCTAGTTTTGGTTAACACCTTAGGAGACTAATGAATCATCTCCAAAATTTCAAATCCTCTGGGCATCTTGACCAATTTCTTGTACAAAGAATTTTCAAATACCAATGAGATGTTGTAGCTTTCAAATCAAAATTTGTACATTGATCAATAGTCTTGATCAAGAAAAACCCTAATTTGACTGGTGAATCAAAAGAGTGATTCCTCTTATAATCAATCTCAAACTTCAATCCTCTGATGATCCAAAGAGATGGATAAAATATCTTGAGATATGCAATAACTTTTAAGCTTGAAAGATCCAGAGGTCTAGATGATAAGATTCTACTTGAGCAACTTGTCAATGCAATCAACCTTCAAAGCTTGAGGAAGACTTGATAACCAAAGTATTTTGATCCCATCGCAATGTATGAATGTAATGCAATATGATATTCATGATGAAACATAAGCCTAAATCAAGAGGGTAATTTTAGGGTGCAACAATATGTATCTTTGATATGTATTTCGTACGTATCTGCTACCGACTCTGGATATGTATCTTTGATATCTCTTTCGTACGTATCCTCTACCGACCCCGGATATGTATCTTTGATATCTCTTTCGTACGTATCCGCTACCGACCCCAAATATGTATCTTTGATGTCTCTTTCGTATGTGTCCGCTACCGACCCCAGATATGTATCTTTGATACCTTTTTCGTACGTATCCGCTACCGACCCCAAATATGTATTTTTGATACCTTTTTTTCGTATGTCTGCTACTGACTTCAGGCATATATCTTTTGATATCTTTCTTATAGGTGTTTGTTATTAAATCCCAACAGATGTTCCTTGATAACCAAGTTATTCTTTCTGTGTGTCAAACCTTGGTTAAACATACATTTATCCCTGATAACCCCTTTAACCCAAAAAGCAAAAAGAAAAAATAGAAGATGCAGAAAACAAAAAATATAATAATACCTGACTGGCTTCATAGCGCAAATTTTCGGGTTCTTTTAGTATTTAATCTTCTTCCACCTTGAAAGTTCGAAAGGCTGACGCCAATCTCCCCTTCAGGTTAAAGGCGATTAAATAGGGGCAGCTGTTGCACCCCAAAATTTTCCCTCCTAATTTATTTTATTTGGCTTAGACTTTTGCATTCATCTGCATATATTCCATTAGATCACTAACATAGCATGCACTACATTCATTAAAGCGCTTGGGGTTCAAAGTTCAGTGGTTGTGCGATATTAGGTTTTCGCAGTGGTTAAGGCGTTCGTGTCTAATAAAGGCTGATTTCTTATTCAAGCAGTAAGCGGTGGAATTAGGGTTGTAATCTGCGTCACTGAGAATTTTTGTCTTCATAAAGCTACGAGGCTATCAGAGTTTATTTTCCTATATGCGATTAAAGCTAGGTTTTTGGTAATTGTGTTCTAATCGGGTTTTTCATCGAAAATCGTGAGATTAGGGTTTGTTTTATCAAGGGACTTTCTCAGAAAGCCTTATATTGTGCGTCAGGAATTATGATCTTCAAGGGAATTTCTTAAGGATTTTAACCTTACGTTTTCAAGTGGACATGTTTGTGACTTGAATTCTAAAAGTTGAAGCACAATACAAAATATGAGGCTAGAGAGCATTAATTGAGTCAGACGAATATGAATAAAAGGTTTTGATTTTGGGCAAAGTCAATATGGAGAGTTTGTTTTCTTGATTGAGTTCATGCAGGAATATTATTGATTTGATCAAATGTTGTGTCATATCTTGAGTTCAGGACTGGTTTATTGAATATGCAAGTCAGTTGAAATTCGTTCAATGAGTCATGAAGTGAAGTGTTTAGAGGATAATCAAATGGTATTAAAGAAATCTAAGCATTGGTTTGTTTTCAAGAATTTGATTCAGGCGAGTTTGGAGACCTTAGTCATAAGGGTTTCTTGGAATGCAACAAATAAGATACAAATGGCAAGGCATAGTCATCCATTATAATTCCATTCAAGTGATTATTTTGGTTCAAGTTGTCACTTTCAGTATCATTCAAATACCGTTCAAAATAAATCCAAATACATTCCAAACCTTCATTTGCGTCATTCAAATTCAACATCTCAATATTCATCGTTCAATGTCCACTTGAAAATTCATGCTTGTCCAACCATTATTTCTAGGCATCATGCAAATGTTTCCAAGCGATTCATTTTGAATTTACAAATCCATATTACATTCCAAAGGAACTACACAAAAATTGTTTCATGTCCCGGCTCCAAGTTTTCCAACCTTGCACTTTACAAAACATAAACAGTCCATAAGTTCAATCAGAAAAATAGTTTGGTAGCTTGCAAACAAAACCAGTTCAGAAAAGAAGAAACTCGAAGAGAAATATTTTTCCCAATTAGAGAAAGACAAAGTTCATAATGATATTGAAAATGCTGCATTGAAACAAGATTTGGATATGGAAAAAAGATCACATGAAGAACATGTTTTGCAGTTGGATTTGCAAGCTTCTGAATCTAAAGCGGTCATAAAATCTGTCAAAGATGAAGTGATAAAAGCAAAAAGAAGCTACTCGGAGGAATACAAGTATTTTGGAATCAAGCTCAAAGGTCTAGCCGAGGCTGCTGATGATTATCATGTTCTTCTAACAGAAAATAGGAAATTATATAATGAAGTTCAAGATTTGAAAGGAAATATCAGGGTATATTGTCAAATTAGACCATTTCTTTCTGGGCAAAGTCAGAAGCATACAACGGTTGAGTTTATTGGTGAAAATGGAGAACTAATTATTAGCAATCCTCTTAAACAAGGAAACAGAAACCAGTATAAAAAAATTACAAAAAAAAACATAATAGAACTTTCACGAATTTCCTAACCAATTCCCAACTACCTATAACCAACTCTCATCTTCTAACTAATTCTCAACAAACAGCTAACAGGAAAAGCAACTAACAACCTTGTCCATAATTTCTAACTAACTTCCAGTAACCATTCCCTAACTGTTTCTAAACATAACTTACAACAGCCTAATATAATTTCAGCTCTCTAACCTCTAACAACTAACAGGAAAAGAAACTAACAGCCTTGTCCAGAATTTCTGGCTACTTCCACCATCTAACTAACTTCTCGTAACCATTCTCCAACAAACTCTAAACTCTTCCCAACAAACTTCCTCATCTCCTAACTGAATTTCTAACATACCCTAACCGATTTTAATAGATATCACTAACTGAATTCACAACTGCATCTAACAGAAAACCAAGAAAGCTATAACACTCAGAAAAATGGAGAGTCCTGAAAAAACAAGATGGTAACTAACCTCACCTGAGCCCTTCATTCTCTAATTGATTCCCTTAATCTATGGCCTAAAACCCTTCAACCATAACTAACTTCTCCAATCATCAAAAACTATATAAAGAAACCCCTCAACATACTCAGGTTCTAGACACCATTTTTCCAAGCACGCTTCTACACGCACCAAAACTTCCTCTCATTCATCTCTCTCCACCATCCTTCACCCATTTCCTTTTCCTTCATTCTCCATCTTCCTCATACTCTCTTTCTCTACAACAAATGCATCAATCTTTCCTCAACACCTTCATTCACCTCTACATCACGTCACCATCATCCTCACCACATCTCAAACACTTACAAATCTAGGTTCTCACCTTACAACAACCACTACAATGCAACGCAAAGAGAAAGCAAGAGAGGGAAGGAAAGAGAGTTCCAATCTGTAACAAAATTGAGAGGAGGGGTAACAAAATTGAAACCAATCTGTAACAGAATGCCAACTCACCATCCTATCCTAACTAACTCTAACAGAAAGAAGGGAGAAAGGAACGAGTATATAAGAGGAGTTACCTTCAATCAAAAGCAGAGGTTCTGGAATCTTTCTCTCTGAATTAGAATGCTGGCTTCACTCTTCATTTTCTCAAAATCCTCACTACAACTTCATCATCATCTTTGAATTCTCCAATCTGCTTATGTAACAACACTTCATCATCTTCATCATCGACAACCAAACTACAGCAATGTAATCATCGCCACGTTTCAATCTTAGACACCATAACCGAAACACAGAAGAATTGAAACACAAAGAAGAAGAGAATACAAAATCGAGGACGACAATTTACGTATACCTGAACTGTTAATTGTTGATTTTTCTCTTCGATTTCATCAATCTTGAAGAATCGTCAGAGTTCTCTGGTAGGTAAGTCTTTAACTACTTATCGTTTCTGCATCACTATGTATGTAAACTTATGGCATATAGCTTTGTTGTTGTTCACTTCTGTTTCGAATTTCACTAAAATCGTGATCGGGATATGAGAAGCCACGATGTCGAAATCGGAGATGAAACCGAATCTGAAGACGAACGAAAGCAGTCAAAGCGTGAAATCGCAAGCGGATGAAGGTGAGATGATGAGATGGTAGCGAATTTAAGAGGAACGGTGCCGCTATATTGAAATCAAAGGGGCGAGGAAGATGAAGGTCATGCGGCGAATCTTGTTCGCTTGTGAGAAGAGGGATTTCGCGTTTAAGAAGGCTGAAAGTCATAACAAGTTAACCCTGACCTCGTTGAATCAAACACTCGCGTTTCATTTTTATTTTAATTATCTTTATTGTTTATTTTAATTGGTGCAAATTTGGAAATAACAATATAACATGGAACATACCTTGTAGACTGGATGGGCCGAAATCTTAAGGCCGGTGTTTGTTTTTGGTACAACAATATTGCCTAAAAAAAAACTGCTCCTGGACTCTGATCAATGGGCCTAGTCCCTGAATTGTGTTTGCACCCCTGGATTATGTCTTTTTGTTTACTATTTTAGTAATTTCTTTTAGATAATTTTGTTAATTGTTTAGACTTGTTTGAATTTTCTTTATATGATAAAAAAAATAAATAAAAATCAAGTATAAAAATTTGTTAGATTATTTTTATTTGGTTTTAGGAATTAAATTCCGATTATCCGATTACTTGAGATTTCTAATTTACCTTTGCTTTTTAAGGTTGGAATCTTATGCAGGATATGCGGATATGCTTGAGTTTTCGGTTGTGATTTATTTTCACATCGATGACGCTTCGACACTTATGCTGCATATTCAATTTCTGACTCTTTTCTTTGTTGGTGTTAGCAGCTCGTGAGATCGTCGGGTTTCTTTGCTTTTTGCTTTGCTCTACGGGCTAGTATTTGTTTGGTATATTTTCTTTCTACTTTCTCTCCGCATTTATCGCTTCCTAGAGATCATGTGAAGTATGATAATATTAGGTTTGGAAATAGGCTAGTCTCCCCTTGGCTTTTCTTTCCCCTTGTTGCACATGCATTTAAAACAAAAACTTCTTTTTCTTACAAACTTCAAAATACTAAAAAATTTACTGACGTGAATCATATCTTTGTTAAGTATGAGAGATGATAAGCGGGTTTCTTCTCGACCTTATTGTTCTCTTATTCTAAGCTTTGGTGTGGTTCAAGTCTCAAAGACTTATTTCATGAATAAGTAGAAAAATGGCTAATATCTCTCTCTTGAGATTAACTAGCTGTTATCTACAAGCAAAAATACCAACAAACACAAATCAATTCAAACCTTTTTGTGCGCCCAAGCACCTTTTCTCCAAAACTTTTTCAAAAGAGCATGTTAATTCACTTCTGTGCTGACGCATAAGTCTCCAAAGGTCGAGTTACGGCATAAGGCGAAATTAATATTGTTCATTAAAAAATACAAACCAACAAAAACATATGATTCGAACTACGTCTGCTCTGATTCCTTAAAAGGGATACGTAGGAATCGAGGTAGGGCCCGAACGAGCAAAACTTTTATTTTCTCTACATTCTTTTCTCTTTTCTTTTGCATGCATTCCTCCCTTCAGTAGTATAGTAAATAGTAAGCATAGATTGAACACACCCATAAGATAGATAACAAGAGTGGATACCGTAGAGTACTACGGGCTCTTGGGGTGCTAATACCTTCCCCTCGCGTAACAGACTCCCTTAACCGATATCTCGGTCGCAAGACCATGACTTTTCCCTTCTCAGGTTTTCTCGATGTTTACCTTTCCCTACATGTGGGATAAAAAAAGTTCGTTGGCGACTTCATTGTTTGATGATTTTCAGCCGGTTGTTTCACCTACGTACTAAGGAAACTATTTTCATCCTATCCTTCATAGGAAGCCTTCCTGCGAGGGATATTATATTGTAATTTTAAACCTACGTGGGGTTACCTCTTATCATTATTATACCCTAAACTCGTAGGGGTATTCTTTGGTTTAGCTCGTAGGGTTTTATATTTAGTCATAATCCCTAGTCTGTAGGGACCCCCTTTTGTCCGTCATTATCCTTAGACCCTTTATAGGATCTTATTCCCCATATGGAACCTTCCCACGAAGGACTTCCTCGTTGATGCACGCCACATGGCCTATATCAGGCCATGGGATTTGGTGACCATTAACCGGTCACCACATGCTCTCTTCCACTCTATTCCCTTAAGTCCAATCTTTGTCTCAATTGTCCATTGGTCTATCATAATTCCTAGCCTGTAGGAATTCCCGTCCCCCTAGTTTGTAGGGATTCCTCTTCGTCTTTCATTGTCCATAATTCTTAAAGAGTTCCTGTCTGTCTCAATCTCTAAGTCAGTGTAGGGTATCCTCATTTCCATGTCTATAATTAAACCCGTATAAGATACCCTTATGTTTACCTTCATACTACATCCGCGTCGCATCGCATATCCATGAAACTTTTTTTGCATACCCTTAAAGCCAAAAATATTTTTTCATACCATGCATTCATACATACACATTTCCATCTCCTCCCTTGTCCAACTATCATCCAGCTAACAGATTGCCTGATACTCAAAGAACAAATTCCAAGCATGCTTCCAGAAAGCTTGACGGAACTCAAGAAATTCATAAGTTGTTGAAGGAGAAAGTCCACTAGTGAGCTTGGTCCTACAAATCTTGTTAAGGAGAGAAGGCAACCATTTGTCATACAAGTCAAAGGCCTACAACACCTCAAATGCAACTATCATTGGTGACTCCTCTACATCAAGAGAAACTGCCATATCAGCATAATAGGTATGCCCAATAAACGTCAAGGGTCACCCCCATGCTCTAACAAGTCCAAGAACATCAAAAAGCTCTCCTAAAGTCAAGAGGATCAACAAATAAGTTCTTCCATAGGATCATTAGACTTTATCAATTTCAAATTGTAATTTCTATGTTGCTAAGTTGTATTTGGTGTAAATTTGTATCTTTTGACTAGTGATTCAAATAAATAATCATGCATGTTTTTGAAATCAATCCATTCGTATTCACTATTCATTCACTTTCCATAATTAATATACGAATTTCCATTTTCACTCTTATTTTCCATTTTTTCATTTTTCAACTTTAACAAACTTTGAGGGAGAATGGTGAAAACTAAATAACTGAATTTTTCTAAACTATGCTTTCAATGGTAAGACCGAGATGACGATGTAAGGCATTGTTTCACTTCCCAAACAATGGAGATATAAGGAGATAATCCGTAGTTAACCCCCTCAAGCCAGGAGTTGGAGTTTTGTTCTATTTTCTAAAATTAAAAAAACCTTAATTTCAACCAGGGGCACGATAGATTTAGATTAATTCAACAATGCATTCCAGTCCCAGGAGAATCAGGCCATCTAAGCATATGTTCAAGCATATCTCTTTCCTCGGTACATCATTGAGGGGACAATCTAAGCAAAAGTTCAAGCATATCTCATTCCTCAATACATCATTGAGGAAACAATCTAACCAAAGGTTCAAGCACATCCTTTTCCTCACATTCATCATCCAAGATTGAGGAATCAATGAAGATAAAATCCATGACGTCTTCTTCCTCAGTACATCATTCAGGATCA